CTGATCCCGGATCAGACCACGAGATCAGGAGGGTCCATCTAACTGGACTCTCTCAGTGACACATGCAAAGTGCTTTTTTATCAGGAAACCATCCTGTAAGAAACAGTCAGCTCTGCACACGCCGCCTGTCTGAACCAATCAGCACCTTCCTGCAAACCAACGAGTCCAGAACCAAAGCGAATGCATCCAGGGAGACCGCTTCAACAAGCAGAGGAGGGAAAAAAGAATCCCAAACATTTTGCACATTAGTTACACAATAATACACAGTGATCACAAAACGAAATGACAAGCTTCACAATATTCATGGCTTTTTGTTTGCTTTTCTACACAATATACAACCATTTAATTTCTTTTTTCAGTACAAGGGAGGAAAAAATGCTTATGTACAATAAGTCATTATTACTTCAAACCTAGCAAATATCGTGTCATTTATTTCATAGTCAATACATTTGTTTATTTTTTTAAACTGCAATAGAAAGAAAACAGAACTCAATTGAGACATCAGTAAAAGAAATGACTTTTGAAATCTAAAAACTGACGTTTGAAAAGAATCTGCAGTCCGAATACAAAGGTGAGAGGATGCATCTGCAAAAGAGAGACAGGAGCTTTTTTTTCTCCAGCTGCAAAAGGAGAAGCATGACGAAAACATTGTAAAGTAAAAATTCACTCCAGACATTAAAAATTCATGAAAATATATCTCTACATCCAATTTCAACTGTTCCACCAAAGGGAAAACTGATCCGTGTTTTTTTTTATATAATAAACAAAAACGATGTTTTCCAAGTGTAAACTCCAGTTTACATCTCTGAATCTAATCCTAGGTAGTTTCATAGTCGTGGCCAAAGTCTTCCTGTTTGTCATCGGGCCGCTACGACGCCAGGTCTGGATTCCTCAAACACACAACGTGATGAACCAGAACACACCACCGGCCGCCGAGCAGGTGGACAGTGGAGGACAGCTCCACCCACAACCAGAGCGTGTCATCAGACCAGGAAACAGAACCAGACACAGAGCGAGGCTCAGGGTCGATTTAACATCATCACAGCCACAGTGATCAAATCTCCTGCTGGAGCAACAACTGAACTCTTCATGAATGAGGGTTTTTAGATTTGACCTCTGACCCCGACACAGGTCAGAACAAACCTCAGTATCATGAGCAACCAGCGAGACCTCTGTTAGCTGCCTTAGCTAACTAACTCGCTGCTGCGCTAATTCAACAAAACAACTAAATGAACACTGCTGCTGCTAGCTCCTACAACCACACACACACACACACACACACACACGCACACACACACACTCTTCCATATGAAGTGCTATAGTTTCTTTTTTAAATGTGATGTTTTCCGTTCAGCAGGAGAAGCCACGCTAGCTCCTGTGTGTGGCGTCACTTGGCACAGCAGCACTTTAAGCTAAATGCTAATGGCAGGAGGCTAACACACTCACGATGACAATGTCGACAAGCTAGGCAGCAGGGGACAATGATTAGCATCTGATGTTAGCATGTTAGCATAGCGAACAGTAAAGCCCAGCTGGAGTCCAGAATGAAGCGACGTGTTTGGTCGGAAAGCCAGCGAGCAGATGTTCCCAAACGACTGGAGGAATCCAACATGGCTGCCGGAAGGTGTGTGAGACCACCTGACTGGACTCAGACAGACTTCATCCTACAACACTGAACCATCAGTCCAGGTGAAGACGCTCAGACTCGAGAAGCCCACGTCCTCCTCGTTGTTGTTGTGCCACAGTTCAGATGAAGCGTGTTTTCTCTCTCCAGCTGACAGATTAACCCTCTGAGGTCTGACCGTATTTTCTTGATTTTTACATAATTTATTAAATTCACTTTAAAAGGTACTTGCATATAATATAATACGATCTCAGCTCCATCTGCAACAAGATCCACCTTTGTTCTAGAGGTCACTTAACTGATGTGGATGAACTGTGTTGCTGCAGAGGGTTTATTAGTGACGGTGGCAAATATGAATAAAATAGTAGATAAATGTTTAATAAATGTCTTTTTTTTTTTTAAGTAGAAGTAATTAATAAAATAACTTCAGTGTCAGATTGTAAATAACCCACATTATAAGACCAGTCCCCCCCCCCCCCCAAGGAGGTTTCCTACTGACTTTTAAAACCCTTCAGCTACTTTCAGATGTTGGACTATTTCTAATATTGGAACAGAAACCTCACAGTGACCCCTGTGACCTGTGGGGGGGGGGTCGGGGGGTCGGTAGCTGTGTCCCAGTTCAAGGGCCGCATCCTTTCAGAGGCTGTGGTCTACAAGGCGTGGCAGTTCGTAGCCGCCGTAGAACGCCAAGGACGAACCGTAATCAGACGGTCTGGTCTATGGAGGACTTTCGCTGTGCATCACCAGCTGTTGCGACTCCTGTTGCCTAGCAACCTTTACAACACGTAACTTTTTTTCAACGTCCGTGGTTTTAACAGTTGGACCGTTCGCTGTTGAACTGAGCTGAAACATTTCACAGTGTAATGCTCAGGCTCTCTGTGGGTGTCGTCTGCTTTCATTACCGGCATGCAATGAATCATGGGATACGTTGGGTCACGGAAAAGAAGGACGCATCTGAAGGAGCCTTTGAACTGGGACACAGCTGCTGACTTCCTGTTTCTCCTCATGGCTCAGGTTCGTCCTTTCATCTGTCAGCGTCTGTAGGTCGTCCATCACAGGAGTCAGTTTCCTCCTTCAGGACAGGAGGACGCATCCCGGTGCAGGAGGACGCATCCCGGTCCAGGAGGACTCATCCCGGTCCAGGAGGACGCATCCCGGTCCAGGAGGACGCACTGAGGAACTCTGGGACATCTCATCTCAACAGACAAAAGGTTCAGTGGATGAAACGTGCAAATCAAAAGAAATGTCATGTCGGGGTTTTCTGTGGCTGTGACGAGCCGCCATGACGCTGGTTTGCCTCGTGTCTGAGACCGGACCCGGGACCTGTGTTGGGTCTGTGTATCAGTGCGCCAGTACCAGAGCGGTTCTGATTGTGGATTTGTTTGGGATCCAAAGACCTCGAGTCCAGACATTAGAAATAAAAGACGTGATTGTTTTGAGAAGGAACTGATCCTGGTTCAGGACTCGGACCCGACACCAGCGACGAGGAACCGGACACACGTGGAGATCAACACTGACAAAGTAAAGCGGGATTGAACTTTTCATCAGCCATTAAAACACACCTTGATGACACGCCCCCTGACTCTCTGGTCGGCCCTACGCCGGCATCCAGACCTCAGCCAACTGTAACATTCTTTTCCTCTTTTTAAAAAAATGGTTTTCCAATTGGAAATATGCAAAGTGCTCCTCTGGAGTGAGGGAACTTGTGTGCAGAGCATGCACACAATGATTGATCCATGTCTCTCCCATAAAAGATATAATCCACATCCTTTTTTTTTTATCTGAAGCTAGGTATCTATACATAATCCATACAGGTATTTCAATAGTTTCTGTTTTTAGCTATGTTGATTATTATCGTCTCCGGGGGCTAATACCTCTCAGGTACGCCACCAATTCATTAGGAGACGCCGCAAAAAAACAAAAACAAATAAACAAACCAAAGTAAAGAATGGGAAGTGGGGGGCGGGGCAACAATCAGAAACAATCTAAAAATCCAAATAGAAGAAGAAAAGATTTGTAGGTTTCTACAGAATCTGAGGTTCAGACGCACAAAATGTGCCTCAACCTTCAGATTAGAGTTCGTTTCACTTTCTCAAAGAACATGTGATGCCAAGAGGAGCTGCTGGGTAAAAAGGGTTCAGTCTGTGCATACCGGATAAACAAAGGTACTGAGGGGGGGTGGGGGTGGGGGGGGGGCAAGGGAGGGGTCAGTGGCATGTAGTGAGATGGGATGGCACCAGGAGGGAAAATCCACTGTCTTCTGTGTGAGTGGAGACCACGACCCCTGTGAACTCTGGGTGAAGACGACGTCCTCCCGCCGCCCGTCACTGCAGTCAGCGTGGACTGCCGGTCCGCTGCCGGTCCAATGACGGTCCAATGACGGTCCAGTGACGGCACACTGGGACGTTGCTGCGTCCGTCAGTCCTGATTAGTACAATTACAGGAAGTCCCCACACACCCACCTGGTAACAGTTCATATCTGTAACATGTGGAGTGAGGAGGGTGATGAGGGGTGGGGGGTGGGGTGGGGGGGCGACCAGTGAAGGATCACATGGGATTCTCTTTGTACACATGTGCACCTTCGTCAGTCACTTCAGTTCATTCGCTGTGACGCTGCCCTGATCTCCAGGTTGGACCGTGGTTGTGTGTCAGCTCTTGAATCGAACCTTTTGACGTGATGATACGAGTGTTGGTGCTTTGCTCTCGATTTCATGCCCCCCCACCCCGCAAACCCCCCCCCCCCCACATTCTCCATTTTTAGAACAGGCTCTTCATCCTCTTTTCAAGAGCAGGCGGAGCAGTTACCAACTTTGTTTTTGTTCCTATCAGAATCTTCCTCTTTGTTACTTCAAGTTAGCGAGCTAAAGTTATTAAACTTTATGTTGCATAGCAACCAGAATGCACCCTGTTGATCTTCTGTTACTAGCAATAGTCACATCTAAGCTTTATAATTGAGAAGAAATCCTCTATGACGCGGCCGGAGGCGACCCTACGATGGTTCGCCGTCTCTCCTGCAGTAAAGGAGCGACAGCAGAGAAACAAAAAATGGACCAAACACTTACAAAAGAAAAAAGCATAATGAGTAAGAGTAACTGAAGCAAGGTATAATAATAGTGCTACCAACAGCGATAATAATGGGAATTATAATTGTTAAACAACGCTGACGAAGAAGATTTTTACTATCATAAGAACATTTGAGATGCACCGACAGTTTAGTGTCTTTGTCCAACTTGGTGGGTTTTCATGGGTTGGTTTAAGGTAGGCACACGGACAGGCACTGCATGCGATGGGGCTGGGGGTGGGGATGTTGGTTGAACTGGGAGTGCTTCAGTATGGGGGGTGGGGGTGGGAGTAGGAGGGCAGGATAGGTGCATCAGTCGGGGCATGGATGGCTGCGTCGGGGCTCATTTCTGTCCGGTGATGGACTGCGATATGGATCGAGGTGGGATCATGTCCAACAGGTACTCTCTCTGCCGGTCTGCTAAGCTGGAGCTCTTATGGGCTCCAACTGCCGCTGGGTTCAGATAGGCAATATTTAACCCTGTGGGGACAAGACACGCACGTCAGGGTGAAGTCCATTAAACAGTTTACACTTTTATTCACGTCCCACTGCAGAGAACCAGAACCAGAACCAGAACCAGAACCCTGTTAGAGACAGGCTCTTAGTCCTGATACGTCTTGTTTCTAGTGGACACTTCCTCCACATTCACCTGCTGCATCCGTGTTTCAGCTGTTCATGACATATAATTATGTTCCAGCTGTTTTTTATTATAATATATAATTATATTAATTTATTTTATGTTTCAGGTGTTTTTTTTTTAAATAAAACATATAATTAAATGATGGTATCAGAGTTCAGGTAATGTGACTACAGGGTTACATATACATCAGCTACAGTAAAGCTGATCAAATATTGATCCTGCTGAACTTAAACACTCGTCATTACCGGATCAATAACTGAAGCTTCTAAACTTGTGTTGAATCAGCAGATGCTGGTTATGAGACTGAGTGGGACGTTACACAAACACCTGACTCTGCTCAGTCGGTACCTGGGATGTTGTAGATCTGGCGACGGCTGTCGTGCTGCAGTCTGTTGCTGCTACTGCTGCCGCCGCCTCCGCCGCTGCCGCAGTGCTTGGCGCTGGTCATTCCCATGAGGCTGCTGGCCACCGACAGCTGGGAGGCCTGAGCGAAGTTTGACAGGACGCCTCGCGCCGAGTTGGACAGACCTCGCTGCAGGGAGGCCTGAGGCTGAGGAGCCTGAGGGAGGACAGACATCCCGTTAACTTCAGGCTCAGTCACTTATCGTGTAAATACCAGCTGTTACAGCTGCAGGTCTGTGTTTGGTTTCTTTCTAATAAAGTCAGTGATTAAACACACAGTGGACGGCGTTGGGTGATGTCATGAAATAGCGTGGGATCATGGGAGTTGTTGTCTTCACCACCATTACCGTAAGCTCCTCCCGGTTTGGATTCCTTCAGTGTGAGTGGGTCAGGAAATCAAACAGACCCGCTGATTCTAACCGTTAAAAACACTGAATGAAGCAGTTTGACATTTAAAGTCAGAGTTTGAGCGACGCTGTGCGGAGGACAGAGACTCAGGGTCAGAGTCACAGCTGAGACTGATGCTAACCTTTGTTCTGACTGTTTCTTTAATAACTCATGAACCAGACGTTCAGCAGGTTTTTACCTGCAGCTGAATGAGAGAGGTTTCCTCCTCTCCACAACAAACACACCAGGGGATTAAAACCAGGAGAAACTCTGAATAAAACAGTTTGATTTAAACATCAGAGATTCAGCGACGCTCTTCAGAGACAGGACAGGACGTCTCCAGCAGCTGCAGCTGAGCAGCTTGTTTCTCTGATAAAGATCCAAACGTCCGACGACTAAAATCATCGGCTTCAAATAACGAGCTGAAAACCACCGAGGTGGAAAAAGTGTCTGTGGCTTAAAACTAGATGAAAGTCAATGCTGAGCTTCTGTCAGACAAACACACTGACACATGATCATAGAGGATGTGATGTCACTGACAGGCGACCAATGAAACGTTACCAACTGGTTAGGAGCAGCGACGTTCAATAATCAATCAATGACAATGACAATTCTTACCAACGTTATAACAGAGGTGAAGCAGATTGTTAACTTTGTTATTTTGTGTAAATATCATATTCATTCTTGCGAGTGGGATGGCAGCACAACCTTATAATGTTTTTATGTATTTTATTTAACTTTGCCAATTGTTTAAAATCAATGAAGTTCATGGAGAAAATGAATAGAAAGGCCAGAAAATCTATTTCCTGATTCTTGCTTTTTAAACATTTGTTTCCTGGCTCTCTCGTGCTTTTCGTCTCAACTTGTTTTTATTTATTTTCCGATTTTTATTTTGTTTTAATTTCTCTTTGTCCAAATCTTCAGGTTTATTTCTGACTGTGCTGAAGCCTCTGATCATTTCCTCCATCGTTTATCAAATGTTATTCCTTTCTGTAAATTCATTCCCTATCTTCTATTGTACATTGATAAACAGAGGTGAAGGCAGGTGGGCGGCGGACTGTCAGGTGACATGCTGCGGCGTACCTGGCGGAGGGCATGATGTCGGATCATGGAGTCAGTCTTGGAGGCGTTGGGGCCGGTCGGGACCGAGCTGGGAGAGAGGGCGGCCTGCTGCTGCAGCCTCTGTTCGATCTCCTGACACGGACAGACACATGAGGATTATTACACTCACTCACATCCACAGGTGACATGTTTCTGTGTCAGTACATCACAGGTAAAGAAACTGTCAGAGAGGGAAGGATGAATGAAAGGATGTTTTCTGTCTTTTCATCTTCACTAATGAACCATTTCATTCACTGAGCAGCTCAGAGGCGCCTGTTTTTATCAGCTGTCTTCATGATGATCGGGTCTTTAAGTTCTTACAGATGTAGATACATTAACCAGATTATTCCAACTGCACATATTTTATTTCATCACTTCGTCGCTCCGCTGCGTTCATCCCTCAGACCTCTTCACTTCCTGCTCAGTGCCGTGTTGTTTCCCATCAGTCTACACTCACTGATGACAAAGTGAAAACATGTTTGTAGAAACTTTTGCACGTTGATTCTAAAACTGAAATCTGTCGTTAACCAAAGTCTTCAGACTCTTCACTGCGGCTCCAAACTGAGATCAGCTGCTTCCTGTTTATCACTGATATATGTCCAGACCTGGAGGTGACTCACACCTGTGTGAACCAGGTCCCACAGTTCAGCTGCAGGTCAGAGACCATGGACCGTGTAGACCTGTGTGCTCAAGAGTTCCCAGGAGAACAGCGGAACCAGGTGAGGAGGACCGGGGTCAGGGAGCAGCTTCAGAGAACTGGACTGAGGTCTGAAGACTTCAGTTCATTTCTAATATTTGATCAATTTTGAAAAATGTCAAGACAGATGTTTTCACTTTGTGATTATAGATTATTGATTGATGGGTAAAAACACTGAATTTCAGTCGACAGCAGAATAAAGTGAAGGGGTCTGGACACTTCCTGAAGTCACAGCTCCAGTTCTCAGGTGTTTCTCCTCAGGGAACCGGATTGAGGAAATCATCATCATCTTCACGGAGGCGGGACACGTGTGGAGCGTGAGGTAAAATACGGCCTGTAATAAAACCTGTGGAGCTGCGAAGTGAGATGATGATGATGATGATGATGATGATGATGATGGCGGTGCTATTCAGTGTAAGTTGATGTGTCGATTTGAAAGGCGGAGGCGTGACGCTGACCTGCTCCTGCTGCAGAGCCTTCACGAAGGCGTTCTTCAGCCTGTTGGTGTGCTCCGCCTTCAGAGCCTTCTTCTGATTGGACGTCATGCACTGCTCACAGAGGATTCGCCCGCTCTTCTCTTGCTTCCAGTGAGGGGTGAAGTCGGTTCTGCACTGGGCGCAGAAGAACGGCTCCATGCGGGCCAGCGTCCCTCTGAGTTTACCTGCAGAGACACAGGGACAGGTGGGCTGAGGACAGTGAGGGACAGACACTGGATGATGGAAACACACAGACACCTTTCAGTTTCTGTCTGAAGGTGGAGACGCTGCAGCTCCTCCTCAACAAGGATTGAAAAAGTGCATACCCGTTGTATACTAAAAGGAGAGATACACAGTGTTGTGGCTAAAAGCTAATGCTTAACACAATAGGCCCTGTAATAAACCCCCTTCATCCAGAACCTCTGTTAGTTTTTAAACTGGAGCCAGAATGTCTGAGGTACACTTGAACTAAAACAATATAATAATAATAATAATTACACACAACACAGCACACAAACACACACACACACACACACAACACACACACTGTTTTAAAAAAGAGTCCAAAGCTGCAGCAGTTCTTCACAGATGAGACGTTCAGGAGCAGCTCAGTTTAAGGAATTATTATGAACAGTGAACATGAAGTTTTGACTGAGGTTGTCATGGGACTAAGTTTATAAACTACAGTGTTCTACTTAGTATTGCTCACCTGAGTACACCTGTCACACACTGAAGGACACACAGACCTGTTTACTGCTCTGTACGTACATCAATCAGAACATGAACACCTTCATCATTCCTCCAGGAATTATTACATAAAAAAATCATGCTTTTAATGTGAAAAACACCAGAGAAGTGCTGAGTTTTGTTGATGTTGTTTTAAGATGGATCAGAGTAGAGATGTGACTGTAGTGGGTTTACCTGGCCTTTGTGTGTCCGTTCTGGCCACGCCCCCGGCTATTATTTGATGTAAAATGAGGAAGAGAACACAGCCAATCAGAATCAGCTGTAGATGTGAGTCACGTTTGTGTGTGAGCGTAAGCCGCTAACGACACATGAGATCCGCCATCTTGGAAAAGCTGCTTCTTGATTTCCACTGACAGTTGAAACGTGTCAACGAGAGGCCTCGACTCTTCCTGTCATGAAACTCAAAGCTCTGTCTTTCCTCTCTGCAGGGTCAAACAGTCATTCAGGTCAGCAGCTAATGCTAACCTGCCGCCCATGCTAATGTCCCAGCGAGATGATAGCCCCCAACGCCGCCCAGCTGCAGGGCCAGAGGGTCTCTCCAAGCCTGGGATGTCTCGCTCCAGCTCCAGCAGCATGGCCAAGCGCCGTCAGCTACCAGCAGGTATGGACTCATTCAGAGCCCAGCTAAGCACACCTGATACTGCCATCACAGGCCTCAGGGTCACCACAGGTCACCACAGGTCACCACGTCACACAGGTCACCACAGGTCACCACAGGATCATAAAGTATTTGTTTTCTGAATATTTTAAATCCTGTATTCTTTATGTGCACGTTTCTTCTCTGTGCCTTTGTTGGTGCATCGCTGCACATGTTAACATGTTACCACCACTGTAGATCAGCAGTGTGACATCACTGGTGACATCACCTAACGGTGGGAGTCCTTGTGCGTCTTCATGAGACGAACAAAAACAGGTCCCACTCACAGACACCGGCTCCTGAAGGTCAGGACAGTCGGACTCTATCATGAGAACCTGAGACCCCATCAGAACCATCAGACCCAGAGAGTCTGTTTGGATCCGCTCAGGTCTTAGAAACACTCAGACCTGTGAACCTGTGAAAACCTCAGTCTCACACCCGACACTGTCACCACCTAAGATCGCACCATGACAATGACGTCACAAAAACCTGCAGCAGACGTACTGACGTGTGTCATCATGAACTTGTGTGTCTCCTCACAGGCCAGCCAGCAGTGGGCAGCGTCCCAGCGCCAGGCTCCAGGCTGTACATGAACCGCTGGCCCACATGCAAGCGGCGGCGGCGGCGGGGCCGGCGGGGTAGCCGGCGGCCTGGGCGGGTCTTCGGCCGTCAGCCCGCTCCCACATGTCTGGGTCGGCCAGCGGAGGGGTGAGCTCCATGGCCGACCAGGCCAGCAGCCAGGCGGCGGCCAAGCTGGCCCTCAGGAAGCAGCTGGAGAAAACCCTGCTGGAGATCCCTCCCCCGAAACCCCGCCCCGCCCCGCTCCATCTCATCTCTCCTGCCCTCCGCCGCCAACAGCGAGTTCATCTACATGGTGGGCCTGGAGGAGGTGGTGCAGAGTGTGCTCGTCGACAGTCAGGGTAAGTGTGTGAAGTAACC